ATTTGTGCACTCGGGGGGGGGGGGTCCCCCAGCCCAGCCTGTGCCCTCTCACAGTCTGGGACCCCTCGGGAGATAACGACCTGCTGGCTTAGGCCTGCTCCTGGGTGGCAGAGGGCAGGCCCAATCCCTAAGTGCAGCCCCTGGTCAGGCTCAGAGCAAGGCCGATTGGGGAGTTGGGGCACCGCCCCGTCATGCACAGAGCAGGGCGGATCGGGAGGTTGCAATGCCACCCTCAGTCACGCTCAGGGTAGACTGATTGGGGGGTTGGGGCACCGCCCCCTGTTACACTCAAGGCAGGGTCAATGGGGAGGTTGCGGCGCCACCCCCTGTCACGCACAGAGCAGGGCCGATCAGGGGGTTGGGGCGCTGCTCCCTGTCACTCACAGAGCAGGGCCGATCAGGGGGTTGGGGTGCTGCCCCCTGTCACTAACAGAGCAGGGTCCATCAGGGGGATTGGGGCGCTGCCCCCTGTCACTCACAGAGCAGGGCCCATCAGGGGGTTGAGGAGCTCCCCCCGTCACTCACAGAGTAGGGCCGATAGGGGAGCTGGGGCACCGCCCCCTGTCACACACAGAGCAGGGCGGATCAAGGGGTTGGGGCGCTGCACCCTGTCACACCCAGGGCAGGGCCAATGGGGAGGTTATGGCTCTACCCTGTCACACACAGAGCAAGGCCCGTGGAAGGGGGTTGGGGCGCCACCCTCTATTACCCACAGAGCAGGGCCGATCAGGGGGTTGGGGCACCGCCACTGTCACACTCAGGGCAGGGCCGATGGAGAGGCTATGGTTCTACCCTGTCACACACAGAGCAGGGCCCGTGGGGGGGTGGGGGGTTGGGGCGCCGCACCCTGTCACACACAGAGCAGGGCCGATCAGGGGGTTGGTGCGCTGCACCCTGTCACACACAGAGCTGCAGGGCAATCGGGGGATTGGGCTGATCAGGGGGTTTGGGCGCTGCCCCCTGTCACACTGATCCCGGTGCCGGGAGCCTCGCTGCTCTGCTGATCCCAGTGCCGGGAGCCTCGCTGCTCCGCTGATCCTGGTGCCGGGAGACATATTACCCTTTTACTATATAGAATAGAGGCCTGGTGCATGGGTAGGGGCCGGCTGGTTTGCCCTGAAGGGTGTCCTGGATCAGGGTGGGGGTCCCCACTGGGGTGCCTGGCCAGGCTGGCTGAGGGGCTGAGGGCTGTTTTCCCGCTGGCAGTTGACTAAAAGCTCCCAACCGCTCCTTGTTTTCTTTTTCTTTTTTTTTTTTTTTATTCTGGGCCAGCTTTAGCTCTGAGGCCTCGCTGCTGAAAACATGGATACAATGTTGCGGTCCGGAGCTGACTGAAAGCCGGTTTTGTTTAGCTTCTTATTTGCAACATAGTAATAGTTGCTTAGAGTTGCAGTTGAGAGGCCGGCAAGTGAGGCGGCGAACGTTGGAGTTTGCAGTTCCTGGAGGAAGCAAGCCTCCCTGCTCGCTTCAGTGCATGGCTGCCGGCCGCCATCTTGGCTGACAGTTAATTTGCATAAGGATACGCTGAATAGCCAATGGGAAGGGTAGCGGTCGTACGCCAATTACCATGTTTCTCTTTTATTAGTGTAGATAATAAAGTTATAATAGTTTATTTTATTATTAACTAGAGGTCAGGTGCACGAATTCATGCATGGGTGGGGTCCAGCTGCCCCCCCCCCCATGGGGCCGCTTGGGCCGGGCCGGTGTGGGGAGAGGGGATGCAGGAGTTGGCTGGCTGGCCCACCCCTGATCAGACTGGGGAGGCCGATCTTGGGTGGGGCCAGCCAAAGCCGATCTGAGGGGCCACAGATGGTTGCCCACCCAGCCCCCCTGCCCCTGATTGGAGTGTTAAGGGCCGAATTGGGGGGGGGGCGCCCCCCTATTGGGCCAGTTGGCTGGCCACAGTGCGTGTCATAGCAACCAGTCGTTTCGGTCATTCCAGTCGCTTGGCTTTTATATACATACTAGTGGCCTGGTGCATGAAATTTGTGCACGGGCGGGGGGGGGGTTCCCTCAACCCAGCCTGCATCCTCTCCAATTGGGGACCCCTTGGGGGACATCCCTCACAATCTGGGACCACTGGCCCCTAACTGCTCACCTGCCTGCCTGCCTGATTGCCCCTAACTCCTCTGCTTGCCTGCCTGATTACCCCTAACTGCCTCTGCCTACCTGCCTGATCGCCACTAACTGCCCTCGCCTGCTGGCCTGATCTCGTCCCTAACTGCCCTCCCCTGCTGGCCTGATTGCCCCTAACTACCTCTGATTGTCCCTAACTGCCCTCCCCTGCTGGCCTGATCTCATTCCCAACTGCCCTCCCCTGCAGGCCTGATCTTGCCCCCAGCTGCCCTTTCCTGCCGGCTTGGTCTCCCCCAACTGCCCTCCCCTGCCAGGTATTGAGAGTGTGAACTGGTACAGATTTGACATAAATGTGTTGGTAAAATAAGAAAGACACGGAAGAGGTGGGTAAGGGGAAAAAGGTGTTTAGAATGAGTAGAATGTCTTTAGTCTTGCAGGTATTCTGTCATAAAGTATACAATGAAAGCATTATCTCCAGGGGTTTTGATTCTGTGCCATGAATGCATTGGGGCTACACTGAGACTTGGTTTCAGTAGCAAATATGCAAGTCAACGAATCAGCAACTCTTTTTGAAATTAGTTGGGATGAAATTTCAGTGTTTCATTTTTATTAAAATGCTCTTAAACTCTAGCCAAAATGGAATCATTTTTTCTGAATCCTATTACACTTAACATGTCATCACTCTATGTGTTTGTTTATGTGTAGAATGCCCTTCCCGTTAAACCCCACCAACTCATATCCAGGAGTCCTTCTATCCTTAAAGTCTTTATAAGGAATATGTCCCTCAGGCATTTTTTTTCTCCACTTTCACCTCTCATTGAGCTTTGAAAGAAATTTTGTGTTTCTAAATTGGCACTATACTTTGTCACTTCATTTTCAGATTCTAACACTTTCTACTGTGGGTACAATTATACAGGGGTGGGTAGAATTATACAGGAGTGGGCAAAAGTAGGTTTACAGTTGTAATACAAACAAGTAATACAATAATCTGTATATATAAAGAGCCAGGGTCCTTAACGACCGAAGCCTCCACCGAAGGCTCAACCTAACACGGAAGTCAGTGCTGGGTTGCTGTGGCGACCCAGCGCTGACTGCAGCCAGTGTCGGGGCAGCGACCCAGCACTAACTGCCAAGGGGGGCTACGGATCAGGCCCGGAGAGAGGCCTGTAGAGAGAGAGGCAGGGTCTGATCTGCAACCTCAGTGGCAGCTGTTGATCAGCCGTTGCCTCTTTCTTTCTCTCCCGGCTTCACCAGCAGCTGCGCCTCTGTTTCTCTCTGGGCCTCTGCGGGGCTGCTGATCAGCCCCCGTCTTTGATCATGCCCAGAGATGCTGACTGGCATAGAAACCGACCAATCAGGACCAAGTCTGGGTGAAGTGTGAGGAGCTAATGGCTGCCTAGGAGGCGGAGCTTTTGATGCTGACTGGCATAGAAACAGACCAGTCAGAAACAAATCTGGGTGAAGTGTCAGGAGCCAATGGCTGCCTAGGAGGTGGAGCTTTTGACGCTGACTGGCATAGAAACCAACCAATCTGAACCTAATCTGGGTGAACTGCGAAGGTGGAACCTAAGGTGGGGGCTGAGGAGGGGTTTTAAGGGCAACAGCTGTTTGGTGTAAAGTGTAAGAAAGCGGTTCAATTTTTTAATGACCAGTTTGGCAGTATAGTGCATATGGCTGGCTATCAGTCCAGATATAGGGATTATGTATTTTTGTATGCCAAGAGCATCTTCTCCTGCCGAAAAAGGCTCCCCCCTCCCATTTAAGCAATCCTACCCTATATAATCTATCTATACTAATAAAAGGTTAATATACTATTTAGACCAGGTCAACCAGCCATCTTCTGGACATCCGACTTCCTTCCAGACAAAGCCATGGTGGTGAGTGCCGAGGCAGAGGCAGTTAGGGGCGATCAGGCCGGCAGCGGAGGACAGTTAGGGGTGATCAGGCAGGCAGGCAGGCAGGCAGGCAGAGGCAGTTAGGGGTGATCAGGCAGGCAGGCAGGCAGGTAGAGGGGTTAGAAGCAATCAGGCAGGCAGGCAGGCAGAGGCAGTTAGGGGCGATCAGGCAGGCAGGCAGCTAGAGGGGTTAGGCCTGCAGGGGAGGGAAGTTGGGAGTGAGATCAGGCAAGCAGGAAGAGGCAATTAGGGGAAATCAGTCAGGCAGGCAGGTGAGCAGTTAGGAGCCAGCAGTCCCAGATTGTGAGAGGGGTGAGGGGTTCCCAATTGGAGTGGGTGCAGGCTGAGGTAACCCCCTCCCCACCCCCATGCATGAATTTCATGCACCGGGCCTCTAGTTAATACAAGAATAAACTCTGTTTCACATATTCACAACTATAAGCCCACTTTTGTATGTTTAGTTTTGTGTGTCCTGGACTACACTGACAGTTTTTTTAGAGCCCTATTATCTGTATTTAAGCTTTATAATACTTAAAATACTTATTTATAAAACATGTTGTTAAATACCTATTTAGAAAACATGTATTTTAGGCACAATACATTATTACTCGTGGAAATACTGATTTAAGGGTGACCAGGCCAGCAGGGGAGGACACCCTAAACTGTCTTAAGGGAGACGTTAGCATATTTGTGAATTAAAAATGGAACTTGGCTTCTTTTTTTGGTTTGGTTAATGGTTTTGAATAAGTCTTTCTGAGACATTGTTTTCTTTTGCAAAACGAAGATTATGATGACTAAATCATTTTATAAAATTAAAGCTAAAATCTTTAAAGGAAACTTGTCACTGTCATATCTACTGAACATAATTTAACATATATTTGTAAATAGTAATCACTAAAATTGTTTTCATTTATTTTTCAGAGAATGCAGAGTCTATTGATCTCAAGCAGTTTTTTGACCAACATTTTTCACATATATATTATGTGTTCTTTGAGAATTTCGTGACCATTGAAGCTAGTCTTAAACAGAAAGGTAAGATGTTAATAATTGGTTCTGGTTTATGTTGATGTTTCCAATAATTGTCATATATTTTCACTTTAAAATAGACTCTTGGACAATGGCTGTTTTTTTTTTTTCTTTTGCTTTTTTGTTTTTGGCAGACAGCTTTTAATACTCCTTGCACAGCTATGGGTTCATAGTACTATTATTATTTTGAAAAGGCTTAGCAGATTTGCTCTTTTTCTGGGATGATTTGCTTGTTTCCTCACATTCTTTGGTCTGCCCTAGAGGCTTGTATCAGGTTTGAGCAGTCATTTTTATATTTTTAGTTTCAGAGTTCATTTAAAGTTTTCCACAATATATTATGACTTGTTTTTAGACATAAATATGTGTAGTCTAAATTTAGTTGTTGAAAAAGAGTAGACAGAGATGCTGTGATACTGTGTTCACATTGAACAGAATATACTTTTAACCATTTTATTTTAAAAAATCACAGAAAAAATTTTAGTGCGAGACATGTTAGAGTATTTAAGTGATTGTTAACAGTGAGGATAAAATGATAATGTTTAAAATATTTTTCTGTAAAAATGTTTTAGGTCACAAGTCTCAAAGGGAGGAATTGGATGCTATACTTTTTATTTTTGAGGTAAGAACCTGCTAATCTTTCTTCTTTACAAAAGTAGTACCTGGATCATACAAAGGAATATATTGAACTATAAACTATATAATAAAACACTGTGGCCTGGCTGGTATTGCTCAGTGGTTGAGTGTCAGCCTGTAAACCAGGAGGTCATAGTTCGATTCCCAATCAGGGAAAATTCCTGGGTTGTGGGCTCCATCCCCATTGTGGGGTGTGCGGAAGGCAGCCAATCAGTGATTCTCTCATCGTTGTTTCTCTCTCCCTCTCCCTTCCTCACTGAAAGCAATACAAATATATTAAATAAATAAAATACTGAATCTGCTGTGCTTTTCAAAAACTGAATTACATTTTTTAAACTAAAAAATATGCCTGCCTTAATTCTTAATTATTTTTTGAGGTACATATATTATTTTTAGGTATAGATACAATTATGTTTTTACACATTTGACACCAGGAAATTAGTATCCTACATAATAAAAGGGTAATATGCAAATCAAATAGACAGCGGAACAACTAGTTGCTATGACGCACACTGACCACCAGGGGGCAGACACTCAATTCAGGAGCTGCCCCCTGGTGGTTAGTGCGCTCCTACAGGGGGAGCGCCACTCAGCCAGAAGCCGGGCTCACAGCTGGCGAGCGCAGCGGCAGTGGCAGGAGCTTCTCTCGCCTCCATGGCAGTGATAAGGATGTCCAACTGCCAGCTTAGGCCCACTCCCTGGGGATTGGGCCAAAACCGGCAGTCTGACATCTCCTGAGAGGTCCCAGATTTCGAGAGGGTGCAGGCCAGGCTGAGGGGTCCCCCAAGTGCACGAATCTGTGCACTGAGCCTCTAGTGTATATATATACACACACACACACACATATATATATGTATGTACGTATACACACACACACACACACACATATATGTATATATAAAAAATATGTTTGTAAACAATGAAAATTTTAATTTGAGGGAGGTTTACACAAATGGGGTTTTTTAAAAATAATATTTTTATTGATACTAGAGAGGAAGTGGGGGAGAGGGAGAGAGTGAAACATCGATCAGCTGCCTCCTGTATGCCCCTTATCAGGGGATCGAGTCCACAATCCTGGCATGTGCCCTGACCAGGAATTGAACCAACAACCCTTCCATGCATGGGACGAAGCCTAACCAACTGAGCCATACCTGCCAGGGTTTTTTTTTTTTAATAAATCATTATTGTTCAGATTATTACAGTTGTTCCTCCCCCGCCCCCCCCAGCTCCCCCGGTTCTCACCCCACCCTCTACCCTTACCCCCCCACTGTCCTCATTCATAGGTGTACAGTTTTTGTCCAGTATCTTCCTGCACCCCCACACCCATTTCCCCCTGAGAATTGTCAGTCCACTCCCTTTCTATGACCCTGATTCTATTATATTCACCAGTTTACTCTGTTCATCAGATTTTTTATTCACTTGATTTTTAGATTCACTTGTTGAAAGATATGTATTTGTTGTTCATAATTTTTATCTTTACTTTTTTCTTCTTCCTCCTCTTCTTTCAACATTTCATATAATACTGGTTTGGTGGTGATGAACTCTAGCGTTTTCTTATCTGTGAAGCTCTTTATGACCTTCAATTCTGAATGATAGCTTTGCTGGGTAGAGGAATCTTGGTTGTAGGTTCTTGCTATTCATCACTTTGAATATTTCTTGCCACTCCCTTCTGGCCTACATAGTTTCTCTTGAGAAATCAGCTGACAGTCGTATGGGTACTCCCTTGTAGGTAACTGATTGTTTTTCTTTTGCTGCTTTTAAGATTCTCTCTTTGTCTTTTGCTCTTGGCATTTTAATTATGATGTGTCTTGGTGTGGTCCTCTTTGATTTCCTTTTGTTTGGGGTTCTCTGTGCTTCCTGGACTTGGAAGTCTATTTCTTACACCAGGTAGGGGAAGTTTTCTGTCATTATTTCTTCAAATATGTTTTCAATATCTTGCTCTCTCTCTTCTTCTGGCACCCCTATAATTCGGATGTTGGTACGTTTGAAGTTGTCCCAGAGGCTCCTTACACTATCTTTATATTTTTGGATTCTTTTTTCTTTTTGCTTTTCTGGTTGGGTGTTCTTTGCTTCTTTGAATTTCAAATCTTTGACTTGATTCTTGGGATCCTCTAGTCTTCTGTTGGATCTCTGTATATTATTCTTTATTTCAGTCAGTGTATGCTTAATTTCTAGTTGGTCCTTTTTCATATCCTTGAGGGTCTCACTAAATTTATCGGCGGTTTCTAGAAAATTCTTGAAAAACCTTATAACCGTGGTTTTGAACTCTATATCCAGTAGTTTGCTTTCTTCCATTTCTGTCATTTGTGACCTGTTTCTTTGTCTCCGCATTTTTTATGTTTCCCTGTGTTGATAGAGTGGCTTTGTGTGCTAGGTGTCCTATAGGGCCCAGTGGCTCAGCCTCCCCAATTACCTGAGGTGGACACTCTTGGTGCACCCCTTTGTGGGCTTTGTGCACAGTCTTGTTGTAGTTAAGCCTTGATTGTTGTTGGTATCAGTGGGAAGAATTGACCTCCAGGCCAATGGTCTGTGAGAATCAGCTGTGTCTACAGTGGGAGAACTTCTGTGCTGGAGACACCCTCATGAGGCAAGACTTGCTTCAGTGGGGCTTTGGTGCTCACTGAGTCTGCCCAATGAGTGTGTCTGTTATGGATCTGAGGAGTTGTAATCTGGATGGTCCCAATCTGACCACTGGGTACACTGGCTCTTGGATCTCTAAGGAGGTGCTAATTTAGCCTCTGCCTGAGGCTACCCAGCAGGAGCTACGGAGAGATCTGCAGATTCCTCTTCCGTGTTTGGGGTTTGGAGGTGCCCAGATGAGTCCCAGCTGTGAAGCAATGAAAGCTGCTGTGGGGCCTTGGGTCTTCTTTTGGATGTTCTGGGTCTCTCTGACCCAGCTGCAGTTTGTTAGGTAATTTTAGATCTCAAAGGGCCAGGCCTTTCATGTGCAAAAGCCTCTGCGCACAGCTTGGGTGGGGCGGGGTCTCAGGGAATCAACAGGGCGGAGCAAACAGCTATGGCTGATCCTCAGCCCTGCCCTAATAGGCCCGGGGTCTCAGTGTCCTGCGGTAATCGCTGCAAGCACCTCTGAGAGAAAGCTGCCCTCCAGTTCCGCCCGCTGCCAGACAGTCCAATTTCTCCCCGTATGAGTCTGGGTCCCCAGAGACTCACCCAGAACTGGAGTTCAGAGCAGTCGGGAGCTTGTTCTCCCTCCCAATTGAAAAAGACAACTGTGTCCTCAGTTGCCAGCACTTTCCGTGTGCGCAGCATCCTCAGTTGGCAGCCCTTTCCGCGTGTGCCTCCGTACCTCTGCACTTTACTTCCGCATCTCCTCTGAGTCTCAGTGTGCTTTTCTCTTTCCTTCTAGTTGTAGAATTTCCACTCAGCCAGCCTTCCTGTGGTTCTGGATGATGTTCTTTTTATCTTTTAGTTGTATTTTTGAAGTGGTTGTGTGAGGCAGCAATTTTCAGGTGTTTACCTATGCCGCCATCTTGGTTTCTCCCTTCCCTGCCAGGGTTTTTTAAAATTCTAAAACATTTTTACCTGAGAGGATAACTTTATGGAACTGTTATATACCTAAGGAATATATAGTTTCTGCTTTAACTAGTTTTCATTGCAAACTTGTATAAAATAGTTTTAAATATTTTATAAACTATTGTTCTATATTATTTTGGAGTGGTGTAGGACAAGTCTTTATTGCTAAATAAAAAGAAGGAAACAATAACATTTGATACTTTGCTAAAACTTGTCTTTTATTTTTACCACATTAATAAAAATTAGGGTGCCCTCACCCACACCCACTGCATGCCTGCTTTTAAAATAACTCTTTGCTCTGCCTTTTGTCTTTGAAATCAAACAGTGATAGGAGTTTTCTGATCTTTATCCAGAATTCAGAGATCTGGAGAAAGTCAGGTTTAGACCCTGTGGCTTAAAAGGCATAGTAAAGAATTTGGAAATCACTTTTAAAGATTGAGCTGTTCTATGTGCAGTGAATTAAAGATAATTCATTGCTTTGTATTTTGATATAGTTAGAAGAATTTGAGCAACCTGATATCTCTCTTAGCTGTTGATTTATATTGATTTAGTCACAGCTAGAAAAAGAAAGTTTTTTTTTTTCAAGGTTCCAGATATAAGTAACTGATCTTGGTATGTCCTGCATTTAATTTCATTAGTCATTAACCCTGAAGAAATCGCTCATATTTACCTCCTCAAGTGTTTGCCCGAATTGTTTCCCAATAAACGAATAAAAGTAGCCACAGAGTAAGCAACATGATAATTGCTAGAAAGTGTTCTTTCATGCTTGCTTTGTATTCTGGAAACTGAAATGATTAATAAGGTAATAGAAGCTTTTCAAGATATATCTGCTATTAAAAAGTAATATTTATTTTTTTATATGTAACTAGAGGCCTGTTGCAGGAAGATACCTGCAAGAATAGGGCTTCCTGTGGCCAAGAGAAGCAGAGAAGGGAGCGAAACCCGCCTAGGAGGGCTTTGCTCCCACCTCCGCTGTCTCGCTTGCTTCCCTCCTGCCTTCCACTGCCCCACTTGCTTCCCTCCTGCCTCCGCTGCCCCACTTGCTTCCCTCCCGCCTTCGCCATCCCGCTTGCTTCCCTCCCGCCTCTGCCACCCCACTTGCTTCCCTCCCGCCTCCACCGCCCCGCTTGCTTCCCTCCCGCCTCCACTGCCCCGCTTGCTTCTCTGCAGCTTCGCTCCCTTCTGCAGCGCTTGGCTTCCTTCTACGTTGTCTTCAGTCTTCGCTTCGCGACTGCATATGCAAATTAACCACCATCTTTGTTGGGTTAATTTGCATACTCATCTGATTGGCTGTTGGGCATAGCGGAGTGACACCAATTTGCATGTTCCTCTTTTATTAGTGTAGATATACAAGGTATCCCAAAAATTTATACACACTAACAGCTGATAGCTCGGTTTTAAAAATGAAATGTATTTTAATAAACACTGCCTTCATAATTACTTAAATTTTATGTATACATATTTTTGGTACACCCTATATAATTCTTTGAACAGTAATCTTTGTCTTTAATGATGCACTAAATTTTATTAGGAAAAAATGATGTTAGATACAGGGTTTTCATCTTTTGAAAAATTTAATTTGTGTGCTTATGTTTTCTACTTATAATGGAGACAATAAATAGTATTCCTTTGGAGACTAATGATAATTTTTTTAATGAAGAAATTATAAAGTGATCTCTTCCTTTTGGAATAAAAAAACTTTGCCCTAGCTGGTTTGGCTCAGTGGATAGAGCATCAGGCTGTGGACTGAAGGGTCCTGGGTTTGATTCCCGTCAGGGGCACATGCCTGGGTTGCAGGCTCGATCCCTAGTAGGGGGTGTGCAGGAGGCAGCCGATCAATGATACTCTCTCATCATTGATGTTTCTTTCTCTCTCTCCCTCTTCCTCTCTGAAATCAATAAAAATATATTTAAAAAACTTCATTATGTAATATTAAGAATATGATGTAAGATGTTTTCTGTGCAGTTACGACTACACAAAATTTCATTCATTTTTATATTAACCACATAAAAACATGTAGACATGTTCATTTACATATTATAAGGGGTTAAATCTAAATTATAATTTCATAGTCATAATTTAGGAATGCTTTTGAATAGTCATAAAGTTGTCTTTTCAAAATAATTTTATTGTTTTTCAAAATAATTATAATTATGCAATTGTTGGCTCACTATGAGAGAAATATGAAGAGGGCAAAGGTAAAGAAGTTTATGTATCTCATATGAGACCAGCATTGATCTGTGAAGAACTTTGTAATTTCTTCATCTTCTTCTTGTGTGAGATCATATGAGAGAAGAGTAAAACATGTAAACTATCCTTTGAGCAGAATAGTATAAAAGCACAAATTTTAAAAATAGGCATATCTTTTGCTTTCTTTTTTAAGAAATATGTTTTTTATTGATATTCTAGAGAGAGAGGAAGGGAGAGGGAGAGAAGATAGAAACATTGATCGGCTGCCTCCTGCATGCCCCTCACTGGGGATCGGGCATATGCCTTGTCCTGGAATCAAACCAGCAACCTCTTGGTGCATGGGATGACGCTCAACCCACTGAGCCACACCAGCCAGACTCTTTTACTTTCTAACCTAAGCACATTACTTAACGCATGTTCTCATTTGTCAAATGAGATTAATAAACTCTTTTTAGGTTGGGTGTGAAGATTAATAAGATACAATTATATAAAGTGTCTAGTTTAGTATTTAGCCTTTATGAACATCCAATTAATGGTGTTTCTAATAACTATAGTAGTAAGAGCAGCAGTAACACCAAACACACACAAGTGTCATTTAGTAAGTAGAGTACTGAGAGCTTAGTTCAGCAGCATAGTACATACAGCAGCTGTGGATTTAGAAAAATCCACACATATGCAATACGTAAATGAAATTAAAGGCAAAATTATGAAAGTATTATATGTAAAAAGTGTTTATTTCCAATTACTAGAAACCTATATTAGCTTAACTAAATAGGTCTTTTGAACTTAAAAATTTTGTTCTTCAGCCTATAGTTATCATAACACATAAGTGCCTTTGGGTTTGCATACGTTAACTCAGTATAAATATTTAATGGGATTTTTGTGAAATCAAAATATTTTCTCATGATTTATCAAAACAGCAGAAAGAATTACTTGAAAAGAGAAAATGTCACAAATCTTAACATCTGAAAGAGTTTAAAAATTTATCAGTAGTATCCACAATGCAGAAATTCTAAGAATGCTAAATAAGCATTTTGAAATATTTTGCAGTTAGTATTTAATCACTATGGAGAAATATATTTACTTTCCACATCATTGTAAAAGTTAAAATTAATTTACTGTTTCATGTCTTTATTAGTATAGTTTGTTGTTTTGGGGGTTTTCCAATGTTGATTATATGCCATTTCGGAAATAATGCCAGTATTATCAGCTTAGCTCAAAGACTAACTTGTATTTGTAATACTACCTTTTACCTAAGAAACTCTTAAAGCTTTAGTGTAAGCTCTTTCATTTTTCACATTGCACAGAATGTGGACTCATTCCTTGCTTTTCATTCTTTTTTCTTTGTTGTTGTTTTATTTATGTTGATTTTTAGAAAATTTTACAACTTCTTCCGGAAAGAATTCATCAGCGATGGCAATTTCATAGTATTGGTAAGTAATTTAAATGTGTATTTCACATTTGAAATAAATGATAATATAAGAAAATGCTTTTCAATTGATTGGTCATTACTTGAAATTAATTCATATTTTATGCTTTAGTAAAAACAAAAATGATTCAGGACTAGACTTATTAGGAATAAAAGATAAAAACATAGATGACTTCCTGTCAAAATGGTACATTACATTTCTTTGTTTCCCCTTTCTATTTAAAAAAATATATTTTTGATTTCAGAGAGAAAAGGAGAGGGAGATAAAAATATCAATGATAAAGGAGAATCACTGATTGGCTGCCTCCTGCTCGACCCTCTCTGGGGATCGAGCCCACAACTCAGGCATGCACCCTGGCCAGGAATTGGCCCGTGGTTGACACTCAATCATTGAGCCAGGCTGGTTGAGTGGTTTCACTTGTTCTTGTACTCTGAATACATTAGCAATGATGGTAATATTATAACACCAAAAAATAATAATAAAAGCATGCTCAGCATCAAAATAAATATCTTTGTGAACCAGGAATGAAAAGGTAATGCAAAGTGCCAAGTAGAGGAGAAGCAATGGCTCCAGGTTTGAAAGCAAGCAGAGTCAACTGGTAGTTTGCCCCACACAAAAAGGGGGAGAACTAGAGTTAAGCTTTCTGCTTGAAAGGTCAAAAGGGAGCTTTTCAGATTATGTAACAAAGCTGAAAAGAAAAAGTGGAGGGAGGGGGAAGGAGGGAGGGAACCTTGCTGTGGAGACCAAGCAGATAGGAGGTCACAGACTTTCTGTTACCAGGTACTAAACCAAGATGCTTTGCTGGTTTTGAGTCTGGTTCTTTAACAATTGCAGTATCACAGTGCTCTCAAGGTGTCATAATAAGACACTTGCCCCCCTCATATTCTAGAGGAATTTGCAGATAGGCAATTACTGGCTTTGGTTCACTGTCTCAATGATGTCAGGACTGACTGTTAGTGATTCTCATTACCCTTTTTGTGGGGAATATATATACAGCCACCAGATCTATATTGTTGAAGTAGAATGTTATAACCCTTATGTTCATGTGTAAAAATTGTGTTTCTTTGTCTTTAAAAACAAGTCAGATTCATTTAGGTCCTATGTTTCTTTCTCTTTTTTTAAAAATACATTTTATTGATTTTTTATAGAGAGGAGGGGAGAGGGATAGAGAGTTAGAAACATCGATGAGAGAGAAACATCGATCAGCTGCCTCCTGCACACTCCCGGCTGGGGATGTGCCAAAAACCAAGGTACATGCCCTTGACCAGAATCGAACCTGGGGCCCTTCAGTCTGCAGGCAGATGCTCTATCCACTGAGCCAAACCAGTTATGGCGGTCCTACGTTTCTTAATCAGTTATAGCAAATGAAATCTCTGAGACTTTGTAATCTATCCCAATTAGCAATTCCAGAAAAAACAACCACCTCTGGACATATAGAAGGGGTATTGATACAGGGACTAGAATTCTAAAATAGAACCTTTTAGTATAAACTTTTTATTTTTATTTTTATTTATTTTTTTTTATTTATTTTTTTAAATATATTTTATTGATTTTTTACAGAGAGGAAGGGAGAGGGATAGAGAGTTAGAAACATTGATGAAAGAGAAACATCAATCAGCTGCCTCCTGCACACTCTCCACTGGGTATGTGCCCGCAACCAAGGTACATGCCCTTGACCGGAATCGAACCTGGGACCCTTGAGTCCGCAGGCCGATGCTCTATCCACTGAGCCAAACTGGTCAGGGCTAAACTTTTTAGATAAAAGTTTGAGACTAAAAATAATGCATCCATAATATATAAAGAACTCTTACAACTCAATAATAAGATTAGTCAGATTTTAAAAATCGGCAAAATATTTGAATGGGCATTATACCAAAGAAGACATATGAATTGCTAATAAGGTGCTCAATGGAATAGTGAAATCCTATTTTGTATCTTATAAAAATGTCCTTGTACGTTGTCTTGAAGCAACTTTTTGAGACATTTGAAGTTTAGAAGATTATTGTGTCTCCTAAGGAATCTCCATAGGACCTGTAGGCTGTCTAGTTATGATTAACTAGTGGGCCGGTGCATGAAATTCGTGCATGGAGGGGGAGGCGTTCACTCAGCCCAGCCTGCACCCTCTCCAATTGGGGACCCCTTGGGGGACATCCCTCTCACAATCTGGACCGCTCACCTGCCTGCCTGCCTGATCACCCCTAACTGCCTCTGCCTGTCTGCTTGATTGCCCCTAACCCCTCTGCCTGCCTGCCTGATTGCCCCTAACTGCCCTCCGCTGCCGGCCTGATCTCGCCCCCAACTGCCCTTCCCTGCTGGCCTGATTGCCCCTAACTGCCTCTTCCTGCCTAATCACCCCTAACCACCCTCCCCTGCTGGGCTGATCTCACCCCCAACTGCCCTCCCCTGCTGGTCAATTTGGATCTGATTGGTCAGTTTCTATGCCAGTCAGTGTCTCCGGGCCTATCTCCAGGCTTGATCACAGAGGTGGGGCTGATCAGCAGCCCCCACAGAGGCCTGCAGAGAAAGAGAGAGTCGCGGCTGCTGGCGAAGCCCAGAGAGAAAGAAAAAGGCAATGCTGATCAGCAGCTGCCATGGAGGCTGTGGATCAGACCCTGCCTCTCCCGGCCTCTCTTTGGGCCTGATTTGCAGCCCCCTTGGCAGTCAGTGCTGGGTCGCTGTGCCCACACCGGCAGCAGTGGGCAACCCAGCACTGACTGCAGGACTGACTTTTGGTGTTCGGTCGAGCCTTTTGTTGGTCGTTATGAACCCTGGGTTTTTTATATATTAGGATAATTTATATATGTAAAACCCTAAGCGACCAAACGACTGGTTGCTGTGACACGCACTGACCACCAGAGAGCAGACACTCCAATGCAGGAGCTGACCCCTGGTGGTCAGTGCACTCCCACAACTGGAGCGCCGCTCAGCTGACCGATGGGTGCCAGACGCAGGGCTCAGGGCTGGCAAGCACCTCTGCGATGGCCCGAGCCTTTCCCAATTGGGATTGACTGGGCGCGAGCCCGTGGCAGACACAGCAGGGCCAGGATGAGTGGGAGCAGCAGGCAGGAGTGGCAGGCGGAGTTGCACTGCCGGTTTCAGCCTGATCCCTGCAGGCCACACTGAGGGACCCCACCAGTGCACGAATCCATGCACCGGGCCTTTAGTATTCCAATAAATGTCTAACTTGAGATTATACATAGTGGTTATTTTTCTTTGTCACTCTGAAGAATGCTAAAACTCTTGTGGTTTTTTTGGGTTTTTTTTTGTCTTACATATAAAGGAAAATAAATCAGGAACTCTAGTTGATTTTCATTCAGTTGAAAATACTTTCTAATATTCCATTTGGTCTCCTTGACCTGTATGGCTTACTTAAGAGTGTTTTTCTTTTTTAACTTCTCAAATATTTGATATTACCCCAGTTTTTTTTTTCTGTATGATTTCTAATAATTCTAATAATTCATCCCCTCAGTCAAAAACATGGCTGAGTTGTTCGGGAGAATATATTTCTAATTCATAGAAGTGACTTAATATTAGTAGTCAGTATGTATGAAGAGCTCTCATATTAAACAAAACAAAATAACCCAACTGGAAAATATACAAAAAAATGTTTCAGGCCATTTGCAGAAACTCGAATGGCCAAATGAAAAGATGCTGAATATTACTAGGAGTTATCAAATGAAAACATTAAGATATTTAACACTCTTCAGACTGGCAGTAATAGAGCATTTGCCAGTTTCTTGTGTTGCCACAGCACCCTTATGCACTGAGTAGTTTTCTCAGATGTGTGGAGAGAGTTTGTCAATACTTAGTAAAGCTGAAAGTGAGTAATTTTGTTCCTGGTTTTGTATTCTGGGGAAACGCATGCACACAATGAGCCATGAACAGAAACATTTACGATAATATTCTTGGGAATAGCAAAATTTTGAAAATGAGCCAAATGTCCTAACATTAAGAAGATAAATGGTATATTCACACAATGGAATAGAATAATACAGCAGTTAAAACGAATTAACTAGAGTACACACATCAATATAAATTTCAGAAGGTAAGGTTGGATGTGAAAAGCAACTTCTGTAGAATGACTTGTTTTGTATGTACCACATATATAAGATTTTGTTTTGTTTTTACAATTAATTAAACTTTGAACTTACTCAGATTTTATTAGTTTTCCACTTATGTTCTTTTTCTGTTCCAGGATCCAATACATGATACCAAACTGCATTAATAGATTTTTAAGAGAGCTGATGACTGGTGTTTACATAGTATTACTTTAAAAAATTGAATTTGTTCAAACATAAGGAAGGGAATGCAGACAAATCAACACAATTTGTTGAAACATTAAACCTTATTTTTATATGACAAATGAAATTTAAACCAAATAAAGTCACAGGCTTGATCATTTATACATACTAGTAAATGTTCCTAGAACAAATAAAAAAACAATGCAGGATTAGAACAAATAGCTGTGGAACAAATTCTTGTTACTGGAATAAGTTTTTAAAAATATAAAACAATTCTGTATATTTTATGGACTTATCAATAAGTAGTGATAATATAAAATATTTTTGGAAATAATTAATACTAAAATCTGGGTAATGGTTTCTTCTGGAAAATGACTCAGAATGGGTTCACAGGAGGCTTCAGTGATACTTGTACTGTTAGGCAAAGCATTATAAATAATGTGAACAAATGAATTTTTGAAAGTATACAAAATATGGGACTGTTGACATTTGTTCAGAAAAATGGGGACCTCTGGGTTTATGTTAATGTTATTTCAGTATTTTCTTTTTTTTTTCTTATTTTTTTCTTTATTGTTATTTCAGTATTTTATTGTTGTTTTGAAACGTGTAATTTAAAAGAAAAAATATGGTTTTGAATATCTTGATGGTTTTGAACATTTTGAAAAAATTAATACAATGGAAATATTTTTAGAAAATATTAGAGTTATAGATGTTTATGTGCTTAACTAAATTTAAATTTTCTGTAGTGTTTTTTTATTTGAATTAGTGATGGAGAAATATTTAATTATATTCTCAGTATAAATAAGACATATACATAGATTGTTGTATTAAATATAATTTGGGGGCTTAGAATTTGTTTCAATAGATGATATCATGTTTAATTTCAGTAAGCCACGTGTTAAAAAGGTGACTTTTTATATACCCTTCTGGCCCCAAGATTATGGCCAGAGGGACAGCAAGGTCACCAAGAATAATTTGGAGGTTGCCAAGGACTTGTTTTAAAGTGTTTTCAAGTCTGACCGAGAACTCTGACATTTAGAAAAATTAAGATGTGAATATTTAAAATAATTTTTTCTTTTCAGGATTGATTTTAAAGAAACTACTTCACACAGGAAACTCCTTGAAGGTATATTATTATATTTCTTTTCTATGACTTTTTAAAAACTAAAGCATATAGTAATTTTCCTATATCTACTTTTTTCTAAAGAATCTTGAATTGTCTGTAGTCCACTTAATTGAACTGAATTCACTTAAAATATAGCAACATATTCAATATGAAAATACATACTAGGTTGACCAGTCTATTGGAAAACTATTGTTAAAAACACACAACTATTTTACTTTTGCCACTGCCAGAAATACTTTATTCTGTGGTCTCCAGAAGACAAAAGTTAGTCATTCAGCAAATTATTCTTCATTTATTACAGCTATTCTTAGTTGTAGAGGAAAGTAGGGAATGTATATAAATTTTTTTTCTTTTTTATTATCTCCTTGTACTCTGGTAAGGGAAGCTACCCAGTCAAAAGTATCTTGCTGTAGGTCAGATAAAAGTCATATTGTAGGTACTTTTGGCATCAAGACGTGGTTGTATCAGTACAAAGGAAAAAGCCTTCCTATATCTTTATTCTGCTATTTGGCTAAACCATGAGGTGGAAGCAGTTAAATAAATGACAGTGGTCGTTAACAGAGCTGTGTTAGGGTAATTTCCAAAGCTAACAGTGAGGTTAGGTTATTGAAGAACTTTGTGTTTTGCTTATCTGAGTTGAATTAAAGAAAAAATCTTTTCCTGGGAGAGAATTCATTCATTGATTGAAATATTTATTGTCTTTTGTGTACAGGGCATTGTTCTAGGTACTTAGTATATAGTAATAGGCCAAAATTCCTGTTTTGCAGCTCAGCAGCAAATGATAAGTAAATGAGATAATTTCAGACAGTGAAAAACTTTTTAAGAACAATCGCAAGTTAGCTCACCAAGATCCCCATAATCATTCCTCCTTTTACTGAATTCATTATAGCAAGGAACTGTAATTGCCCTCTCTCTTCTTGCTTCTTAGATCAGACTGGGGGTTATGTAAAGGAGGGAAGGAGAGGGAAGTAAACAAGAAGGAAATGATTTTCTGATTTTTTTTACAATTGGAAATTGTAGAATGAAAAATTACCTGATGGTTTTAAGTTGTTATAGGCCAAGTTCATTCTTTATTTGTACAAAATCTTTGAATTTAGATTTACAGATATTGAGGGTTTCAGAAAGGTCATGGGTGTTATATCCACCCTCCCTTTCTCCTTCCACCTTCTTTCTACCTTTCCTACCTATCTTTTGCAAAGCATCATTCTGTAATCCTGTTATAGAGGATTTTGGCCTTAAAAAGAAGAAAGTATTTCCATGATAAGTAAAAATATTGTTTTTCATTTTATTTTAGATCAGGCGGGAAGGTGTTCGTCTTTTCTTATTATGGTTGCAAGCTCTTCAGAGTAACTGTAGCAAAGAGCAGCTTTGGATGTTTTCATGCTTAATCCCTGGATTTTCGGCACCACAATCCGAATATGGACCTCGAACTTTAGATAATCTCATTAATCCTCCACTCAATCTTCAAGAAAGTAAGATTATGAGATCTTATACATTAGTATTTAAAATTTTCTGTGTAGTTTGATAATATATATATTTTTAAATGTCTGTACATTTATTAACAGTAATCCAAGGCCATATTTTAAAATGTAGGTTTCATTATTATTCAGGTATGGTGAGGCCAACAACAGATCAGGAGACAATTGCCATTAAAAAAAAATATTTTGTTATTCAGAGTTCCTAAGAAGAGAGGGCATGCCACACTAGGGAGGGTGGCCATACTGGGAAGCACCAGGGTTAGTCGGATGGAGTGTGGGAGGTGAGTTGTTTGGTTCTTGGCCCTAGGGTGATTGGGTCAGAGGAATAGTGGCCCTGAGTGTGAGCCAAGTAGAGGAGGCAGTGGAGGTGTGAGCTCTGGGTTGATTGGTTTGCATATAAAAGGTGAACTGTCAGGCCTATCTTTACTATCTCTGGGAAATAAGTAGTTGTGGAAGAGAGATTCTGTCCAGGGCCATCAAGGCCCTGGTGTCAAAGCATCAAAAATACATAGTTAATATAGGCTGTTTACATTTATCTCTGATATCTGATTCTCACATATCATCTTGAATCCTTGAGTTAATTTGGATGTGCATTAAAGCACATGTATGGCCCAGTCCATGTGGCTCAGTGGTTGAGTGTTGACCCAGGAACCAAGAGGTTACAGTTGGATTCCTAGTCAGGGCACATGCCAGAGTTGCAGGATTGATCCCCAGTAGGAGGCATGCAGGAGGCAGCTGGTTGATGATGTTCCTCTCTAAATGATGTTTCTCTCTATTCCTCTCCCTTCCTCTCTCTCTAAAAGTTAATAAAAAACATATATTTTTTAAAAAGCACAAGTGTGTTTCACTTGGTGCAAAGAGGATTGTGAAAAAAAAATTGATTTCTGTGAGCTTAATTACTTAGCTGATAGTTACTGAGGAATAGATTTAGAGATCTGCCTGTACTAAACCAGGTACTGCTACTTACTAAACATTGAAAAGAATTCAGCTAGTTGTGGGTTGATCTTTCTTGAATTTGCTTTTGTTATCATGAATATTTTTGAACATCTGAGAAGTAAAAATATATCAAAGTTTTTTATTTTATAAGTGCACTTTTGCAATCAAGGAACTAAGATGTTAATTTTTCTTTTTCTTTTTTTTTTTGAGAGGGAAATTAGTATTTCATCCTTTGAATAAAGGAGCTACCTTAAACAGTAAGCATGGTCTTTACCTAGAGCAGCAGTTCTCAACCTGTGGGTCGCCTAAGACCATCGGAAAACACATATATAATTACACTAGAGGCCCGGTGCACAAAAATTTGTGCACTCGAGCGGG